ACAAAATATAATTATGTACTACGTATGATTAAATTTTGTATCAATTTTAATCAAACAAAATTATTTGTCAAATTGTTTTCTTGTAAAAGGTATCACTTCATGTTATTTTAACATTAGAAACTGTTTTTTATTCTGACATACAAATTGATTTTTCTTTAAATTGTACAATACAAACCAAGTGAATTGTTCTAAACAATCATAAAGTGCAAAAAAGGCCTTAATTACGTGACAATAAATTTTTTAAGATATGAATTTTTTAATGGAATAATGTTTATCTTGTAATTAGAATAATAAAGTAATAATAAATATAACGAGATGTTGTATCAAAATTTTATTCCTCACAATCAATCACAAAACTACTCGATGATCACATTACGAGTAAAATAAATAAATAAATAAAATCGATAAATAAATAAATTAAATTAAAAAAACAATAAGGTTAAAACAGACAAGAAGGTGTCTATTAAAAAAAAGACATCCAATCACATCTCGCAAGCATAAAAAAAGCAACTAGTCTACGTCTCATTCTCAGCATCCAAGTGTTGAGGTGGTGACTCCGTAGGTGGTTCCGGAGGCCACTTTCCCGCGGTATGCGAAGCTTCTGCCACCGTGCTCGGTGGATCGGTAATGACAATTGGCCCAAGTGGTTCTATTGTCTCTTCGGTCGTCACATCTGCCATTACATTGCTCGACGATGATGACGGTGTCGTCAACGAGGGTGAGCTCATGCTGCTACCCCAGGGTTGATCCACGGGCGTTGGTGGCACCAGATCGGTAGCCGGGAATTCGGTTTTCTTCTCACACTGTCGACCGTAGAAGCCCAGAGGACAGACGCACCTGGATTTTCACAGAATATCACATTAACGAACAAATTTTCAAGTGACGTTTCAGAAATAATGGAGTTTTAAGTAAAGCTTCGAGTGGCTAATCGTGAAAAAGATACGACCTCACTTTGTTCATTTTGTCCTTCTTTCTCATGATTAAATAATTTGTTTCCTCGCAAAGAAAGTTTTGTATTGGTCAATAACGTACAGTATCGTCGAAATCACCGAGAACAGATCCTACTTTGAGCCATAAATAAGAGGGGTGATATATTCTCCCACCATCAATGGCGGTATCATTTATTTGTAAAATTGAAAATTAAAACAGGATCTTCACCCATGAAGGCGTAAAATTTTTTAGGTAACAATATAGTTGGGTACAAAGTGAGCAAACCGTAGCCGCTAAAGGCTCCTCGACACGTGCCGTGGCAGCAGTTAGCCGTAACTCTGCACGCACGTAGTATAGGGTATAATGTAAAAAAAAAAAAAAAAAAAATTTGATCCAAAGGAGGACAGAAGAAGAAGGGGCTCTCACCTGTAGTCGGCATCATCGGGTGTCATGCTGATGCACGTGGCGTTGTTGAGACAGATGCCGGGATGATCGTCGCAGTAGGTGAGCCGCTCGTCGCAGAGCTCCCCGGTCCAGCCGGGCTTGCACCGACACTCCCAGGGCTTCCTGCAGCTGCCGTTAGCGCAGCCCGGGTAGGGAACGCACTCGGTGCAGTTTGGCCCCGTGTAGCCGACCCTGCATCTGCAGCTATTCGGTCGACGGCAGCCGCCGTGCTCGCGACTACAGCCGGCGGAGCAGATAGCTGTGCGGCGCGTGGAAGAAGGTGATGGTGAGAAAAATACTTTTATATTATCTTTCGAGTTGTCGCAAAGAGGAAACTGGATACGTGCTTGGACCGCTCGAAGCGAGGTATGGGCAGCCACAGGTGGGAGATTTTTTTTTTCCCGGACTTTGAGCGATTTCACGCGATCCTCTCTGTTTCTAACCCGAGGTGAGTTTTTGCATCAGGACTTTGGACCTGTAGACGAATTGTCTACAAAGCCTTTGATGGAAAGCCCTTTCCTTATTTAAGATTGGATTTTTTTTTTCAAATGACAGGTTGTCACTTTTAAATTTACCTTTAATATTGTACGTTGAAATTAATGAAAAAAAAAAAAAANTAGGATATAGAAAAAAAAAATTTTTAATTTGCTTGAAACTATAGAAACGAGCCTATTTCTTTACTTCCGTAATTTTTAGTTAGAAGATTGCTCTTTTCATGCATATATCCAATTATCTAATCGTTAAAAAATCAAAATAACCCTTGTACCCCATTGAAAAATGAAAATTTTTATTCCCTATTAAAATTTATGAATAATCCATCCAAATGATCGTACACATTAAAAAAAAAAAAAAAAACAAAGAGAAATATTCTGCAAATGATGTTTTTGGCTTGATAAAGTTTGCCAAGCGACTCTCTGTCTCTTGTAACACGATACGCACGCGGGAGGTGCGCTGCTTCGTTAAGCTCACACCTAAAGCTTGTTCTCGGAAAGTAACATTTCTTGTATTCTTATACGTAGATGATAAAAAAAAGATATAGTTTGGGTGGTAGTCGGACGATACGCCGTTTGTGTCCGCATGGCTTATCGGGGAGGGGTACACTCTTGATTGTCCTTTTTTCCTCCTCGGCTCACGAAGCGAATATTCAAAATGAGCAAAATACAACGCGTATCTCCGCGTATCGTGCGCTACGGTGGGAGGATGGCTCGACAATTATAAAAATTAATGACGTCCAAGAGTCGTAAATAATACAGCGACACTTTCTCAACTTTTTTTTTCATTCTCAATGTGACGTGAAAAATTATTCGAATAAAAAAGAAGATTTTTTCTCAGAAGGAGATTACACAGATAGTGTGGAGTGAAGATCTATTTTTTCAAAACTCACGTGTTGAACACAAGAACCCAGTCCATCCTGGCTCGCAGCGACATTCAAGAGGTCCATGACAGGTTCCGTGCACACATCCTGGCAAAATGGCACATTGCTTGCACATTGGACCTTGCCAACCTAATCGACATCTGTAGAAAAAAAAATGAAAATTGATCAAAATATTAGTAAAATATTGATGGAAAAGTCCCAATGTATAAAAAAAAAAAAAAAAAAAAA